CTCTTTCTTATTTTTCTGCTCTTCTAAACCAACAAGTGGTATCAGAGCAACCTTGATCTCAAAAGGCCGTGTGCGTGTTTGAGTGAAAATCATAGAAAAAACCACCAAATAAACCAGAATTTGTGAAGTTTTCTGTTTATTTGCTTTTCCTCAAATGGCTTCCAGCAGCATATCTCTTTCACCACCTCATTTTAATGGGGAAAACTACCATGTTTGGGCTGTGAAGATGAGAGCTTATTTCAAGGGGCTTGGATTATGGCAGTATGTGGAGGAAAACAGAGTACCTCCACCTCTACAGAGTATCTCCACCTCTTAATCAAAATCCAACCCTTCAGCAGATTAGACAACAAGAAGAAGAGGTTGCTAAGGCTCCAAAAGCTCTGTCTTATATCCATGCAGCTGTTGCAGATCCTATCTTCACCAAGATTATGACATATGAGACAGTACATGAAGCTTGGGAGAAGTTAAAAATTGAGTATCATGGATCTGAAAAAACTAGACAGTGCAGGTATTTAATTTAAGAAAGGAATTTGAAATGTTGAAAATGAAGGAGGACAATGAAAATGTGAAAGATTATGTTGATAGAGTTATGAAAATTGTAAACCAAATTCGATTGTTGGGAGAAGAGTTAGAAGAGAAAAGAATTGTGGAGGAAGTTATGGTGACTCTCCCTGAAAAATTTGAAGCCAAGATTTCTTCTCTTCAAGATACTTGGAATATATCATAAATATCATTGAATGTGCTTTCAAATGCTCTACAAGCTGTAGAACAAAGAAAAGCCTATAGGGAAGAAGAAACCTTTGGAGAAAAGGCTCTTGTAGTGACTCAACAACCAAAAATGAAGAAGAATTTCAAAAAAAAATTGGAGGAAGGACAGATTTCCACGTTGTCCACATTGCAAAAAAACAAACCACATTGAGAACTACTGCTGGTTCAGACCTGGAGCTGAATGTAAGGTTTGTAAGCAATTTGGTCACACTGAGAAAGTTTGTTTTACAAACCAGAATCAACAAACACAAGCCCATCATGCACAATTCACCAAAAATTCTGAAAAGTATGAAGAGCAACTATTTGCTGCAAAAGAAATCGAAAAATGTGATGTCTTAATTGAAGCTAAAGAAACATGGCTTGTTGATAGTGGCTGCACTAACCGTGGCTGCACTAACCACATGACACCAAACTTGGTGAATTTCGATAGCTTGGATAGAAACTATTCTTCAAAAGTCAGACTTGGAGATGGTAGGCTTGTTGATGTCAAAGGCAAAGGAGATGTGATTGTACAAACTCCTTCAGGTACAAAGCTTGCTCATTAAGGTACAAAGCTATGTTCTCGATGTTCTTTCATCTGTACCAGAACTAAACAAAGCTTGTTTTCGTGGTTCCAATTGCTGGATAAGAATTACAGTTTGCTATTCTAAGATAAAATTGTGAAATAAGTGATCCTTCTAGCTCAAAGTTTTTGCTGTCAAAAGAAACGGAGAAGCTTTCCTCTAAATTTAAGAAAATTCGAAGAAGAATCTTGCTTGAGTCATAAAGAAGAATCTGATTTGTGGCATAAGAGATTTGGTCACACCAATCTCAATTCATTAAAATTGCTTCAATCCAAGAAGTTAGTTGATGATTTGCCATCTGTAGTTGAAGACAGCAGTATATGTGAAATCTGTCAGTTAGACAAACTCAACCAAACACCATTCCCAACTGATCAAGCATGGAGAGCTTCTATGAAACTTGAATTAAAACACACTGATGTGTGTGCCCCTATGAGTGTCTCATCTTACAATGGCAGTCTTAACAATGGCAAAGCAAGTATTTTATATTGTTTATTCATGACTACACCAGATCTCCTGCTGGGCTTATTTCTCCCAACAAATCTGAAGTTTTCAAAATGTTCTTGAAGTTTAAAATCAATGTAGAGAATCAAGCTGGCTCCCCAATCAAGATTTTTTAAGATTTGATATGGGGCTGAATTTACATCCGATAAATCAACTTAAGGCAATATTTGCCAAGAACGCGGGCATTCACCATCAATTAACAGTACAGCTTACACACCTCCACAAAAATGGTGTATAGTGAAAGAAAGAATAAACTGGTGATGCAATATGGCGAGGAAATTTGGGGGTTCCTCGAGATGTCTCTTGTTTGAGAAAAATCTACCCAAAGTTCTTTGGGCTGAAGCTGTAAACACTGCTGTATATCTTCAAAATCAGCTTCCAACCAAAGCTATTGTTGGAAAAACTCCTTTTGAAAGTTGGTTTTGAGTTAAACCATTAGTAAGTCATCTCAAAATCTTTGGAAGCCTATGTTATTCATTTATTCCAAATGCAAAAAGAGGGAAATTGGATCAACGAGCTGAAAAAGGAATTTTATTAGGCTACAGCAGTGAATCCAAAGCCTACATAATTTTGAATCTTGTTACTAAACAGGTGTATATCAGCAGGAGTGTCAAATTCGATAAGAAAGGTGAATGGGATTGGAGTAAAATGGAGCTAGGAAATTCTAAATCAGTTCTTGAACAAGATCATTTTCAGCAAGAGCACAAGAGCAAGAAAACTTCAATTGACAATGAAGAAGAATCAGATGAAAGATTGATTTTATGCCAATTAGAGGGACTAGATCCCTAGAGGAAATTTTACAGAGATATAATGTTGTCTCACTTGAACCACTAGGTGATGAAGCCTTTAAAATGCATGAGTGGAGAGCCTGCCATAGAGGAGGAGTTGAAGATGATTATGAATTTTCAGCAAGAAAATCCAACTAAAATCTTTTGTGAAATAAATCACTGTTTCTATGGTTAAGAACTTAATCTTCCATGGAAAACCAAGTATACACAAATCAAGTACCAATGCAAAAACCAAACGCAAACAGCAGATGATTTTCACTAAGGCAATTGCAAAAACCCATGAATTTTGCAATTTCTAGGGAAATAGCTTGGTGTTTGTCTAACTCCTTGCATCAAGGGAGGAGTGTTAAAGTTCAGCTAACAGCTCCATTGAAGCTAAATTGCTGATGCAAGTGTTGTTGACAGTTTTTTGGATGTATTTATTCATGTTTACCAATAAGCCTTGAGATTTGCTTCAAGCTATTATTTTAACAAGTGATATATACAAGTGTGCAATAATTAAAATTATTTCTTTTTATCCAAATAATAATAATAATAAAATAGTTAGTTTGATGTTTCTATTTGTAATAATAAAAATTAGAAATCTGGTAACTCAGTGGCAACGAGCACTTGCCGGGTTGATCAACATGACTTAAGTCATGGGTCCATCTTTTATGGAGCAAACCCTCCCAAACCAAACGTCTTTGCCGTCAAGGGCAAGCAAGAATCAGTCCAATTCACTAACCTTATGCAAGAAAAATTAGTTTCAAGCATCGCATAAAACCATACTATGGACAAAGAAGCTAAAAAGTAAAAACAAATATATTTACAACATGTCATCTAAATTGCCGGCTTTCTTTCGATTACCAGGTTCAATATTTAACTAACCAAAAATATGAAATTTGTTTACATAGCTGAACGCCATGAGCATAAAATTATAAATCAGAGAGAATTACAACAAAGTTGCATTCTATTATAGAGGGGACTTTCCACCTTAAAACATAGAACACAATGAGCATCGTCACATTTCATTTTTGCATTTGCCTACAAGTCCTCGGGAGAGCGGAACCCTCTACCATTTTCTGGCTTGATAATTTTTTCTCATTTGGATAACAATTGAATCGGACTTGATAGGTTACATTTGTTAGCATACCACAGCTGGTATAAGGTGTTACAGTGTGGTCCAATATTTCAATTCAACCTGTTGAAGAAAATACAGGAGATATAAGGTGGTTGAGGAGTAATAAGACTGTTTTTGTATTTTCCACTTCCCAACTGAATATATTTGGTTCTAGAGATTCTTGTGCTATAGGTTCTTTGACTGAGTTGAGGTCTTATCTCAAGTCACTTAACCTAGCAGTTTGTTAAGGTTTAATTTGAATAATGCTTTAGCTTTGTTTTAGGGATTTGTTAGTTGTATTAGAGGTTACTGCCTCTATTTAAACAGCTCTGCTTCTCTCAATTTTTTATCAAAACTTTGCTTTTCTTATTTTGGTATCAGAGCCTAAGCATCCAGAAAATTTTCATGGCTCTCACAGCTTCATCTTCCTTATCTCTGAATGTAGGTAACTTTGTTACCTTAAAATTAACTTCAAACAACTATCTCCTTTGGTGTGAACAAGTTCTTGGTTTAGCCGAAAGCCAAGATCTCCTCACACATCTATTACTTAATAAACTTAAAATCAGAAAATAAAAAAGTATTTAAAAATATGATAATAATTATAAAAGTTTACATTATTTGATTTAAAATTGATTTAATAAGTATTTGATTTAAAAAAATTAAATTTAAAAAATTATAGCAATTAGAAAAAGTAATTAAAAATAATATTGAAATATTTTTATTAGAAAAATATTATATTTTTTGTTTTAGTTGTTTTTTAATTCATATTTGATTTAGATCAAATCATTTAATTATTTTTATTGTTTATTTGATTTATACTTAACATAATTTCTATTTTCTGGGATCAGTTGGGCATTTTGTATTTTTGGGTAGGAAAGTTCAGGGGTCAAACTGTAAAAAAACTTAATTTTTGACCAAATTTACTTGTTCGGGTCCAAATTCAGAAGGCCAGCATAATTGATTGAGAAGGCCAATTGGTTGCTGATCCATGAAAACCGAATCGCACTTAGGTATTTAACTCGGTTCGTTGGTTTGGTCAGTTGGGTGGAAGTTTGCTTGCACCAGGACTCACACTAATGCACGTAACATATCACACTTCCTCACTTCCCTGTCACGCCAAACACTCACCACCATCATCACAGCCACCGGCTCCTCAACCGTGACCGTCCTCTCTCTCGAGGTTCTCTTCGTTTCTCTCTTATTTTTATAAATGAAATCTTTTACAAGTTCATGTTTTTTCTATTCTATGTGTGGTTTTGATTTTCTTTCCTTTTATTTTATTTTCTTTTCTTGATTTTTATATTACTTGAAGTTGAAAAGGAAAATATGATTGTGGAATTCAAAGGAATGTTTCTAATTGATAAATTATACACACAGTTTAATGCAGATAGAAGAACACAAAAAGTTAAGAAATTTACCTCTTCCCATTCACTGAATTTATTTCTTTCATTCTTTCTCTGTTTAATTCGCCTGCTTTGTGGTTTAATATATATTTAGTAAATGCTTGATGAATATTAATATTTGATCATGTGATTTTTATTGATCTTTTTTTTAAAATTACATAAATTGGGTTCCCTTTTACGTTGCTAGAGCTCTATAGTTTAGCTATAATGCTGATACATCTGGACGTGCTATACTGGTATCAGATACTTACTACTATTTTGCTTTATTTGTCGCACCAGAAACACCGGCTATGGCTGAATCAACAATGTTTGTGGTTGCTCAAACCATTGGCAGTATTTTGTGTTGCAAGTGTGGTATTCCAATGGTACCAAATGGTGTTAATATGTGTTTGACTTGTCTGCGTTCCGAAATTGACATTACCGAAGCTTTAAGAAAGCGAATGACCATCCTGCATTGTCCTGATTGTAGCAGCTACTTGAAGCCACCAAGCACTTGGATTAAAGCCCATTTAGAATCAAAAGAACTGTTGAAATTTTGTATTGACATGCAGAAGAAGCTGCATGATAAGGCTAAGGTTAGGGTAGTTGGTGCAGTCTTTGTTTGGACTGAACCTCACTCCAAGAGGATCAAGGTCAAGCTAATAGTCCAGAAGGAGGTGCTTAATGCGACAATTCTTGAACAATCATATGTAGTTGAGTATGTTGTGCAGCCTCACTTGTGTGGAAATTGTTCAAGAGTTCAAGCCAACCCTGATCAGTGGGTTGCTGTTGTGCAGCTCCGGCAACATGTTTCTCACAGGCGAACTTTCTTTTATTTGGAACAGTTGATTCTAAAGCATGCTGCTGCTGTTCTTGCAATTAAAATCAAACAGGTGGATCAAGGTATTGATTTTTTCTTTGCTAAGAGGAGTTACGCATTGAAATTTGTGGAATTTGTGGGTAAAGTTGCTCCACTCAAGGTTCGACATGATAAACAGCTTGTTTCTCATGATTCTAAAAGCAACAAGTATAATTATAAATATACCTTCTCAGTTGAAATCTGTCCTATTTCCCGTGAGGATTTGATTTTTTTGCCTCCAAAGCTTGCTGCTAGTTTGGGAAATATTGGTCCTCTTGTGATCTGCATCAAAGTGATAGATGGTATTTCTCTATTGGATCCATTTACTTTAAGGCATTGTTTCTTGAATGGTGAGCAGTATTGGAGGGCACCTTTTCAGTCTTGAATGGTGAGCAGTATTGGAGGGCACCTTTTCAGTCTCTATTAACAAGCAGGCAACTTGTGGAATATATCATACTAGATGTGGAACCTTTTTCGTATGAACGTAGTGTTGGTAGTTCCAAGTATAAGTTAGTAGATGCTCAAGTTGCTCGCAGGTCTGATTTTGGAAAGAACAATAAGATTTTCCATGTTAGAACTCATCTAGGCCATATTTTGAGTGCTGGTGATGTGCTGGTGATGCCGCTTCTTGGTTATGACCTTTATGGAGCTAACAGCAGTGGTTTTGAACTCAGACCAGTAACCGAGACCTTGTCCTTCCAGATGCAATTTTGATAAAGAAGAGCTATGGGAAGCCAGTCAGAGCAGCTTAAGGACTCTTATGCGATGTAGCACGTGATTTCCTGACAGAGAAGACAATGGTGTTAATGAAATCTAAGCCCTCAGATAATGAGAATTCTTGAGAGATCTGGAAGAGAACCTGAATCGAGGTTTCAACATTTCATTAGAAGCAGTCTCCTAGAAGAGTTTCTCACAAATCTTGATTAAGTCAGAAAGGACGCATGAAGAAGATACGCATGAAGGACGTGACTGGCACTTACTTTTGGGTTTTTATCTATTCACTTTTTCTGGTTTCTCTTGAGGAATCATGAACTCTTTTTTCATAAGTTTATTTTTATAGCCCACAAAACTTAAAAAGAGGCAATTTTGGTAATTTACCCTATTTTATTCTACCTTTTTTTTGTCTTGTTTTGAAACATATTCAATCTTTTTTTTTTTTTTCTTCCCACAGGTAGGAAGAAAAAGAAATCAAAACATTTAATTAATATTAAGTTAATAGAACTATTGATCTATCAGCATCTGTTAATTCTTAGTACTGAGAAGGAGTTGAATTGGCAGTATAATGCATGTCTTTTTGTTTGCTACATAATACTAATTCTACCATTTTCTGGCTTGATAATTTTTTCTCATTTGGATAACAATTGAATCGGACTTGATAGGTTACATTGGCTTCAAGAAGCTAATGAGGAATGGAGGCCTGAAGCTTCACAGGGCAATTCATAAAAATGAATGGTATTTCTCTGCACTGTTGGAGAAACCAATGACCTGAGCATATGCTTCATGTTCACTACATAGAAAAGAATTCCAATTTCTCATTTCATTCTTCAATACAATCCAAGATGTGACAACTGAATCAGGGCAAACGAAACAAACCAAAGTTTCAAAAGTAAAAATGAACTGAATTGAATAGTCAGCTTTTGAGCTTATTTTTCAGGCATTTTTTTTTATCTAGTTTTATGGTTCTTGGATTCTTGGATTCAAAGGGGTCAGTATCCTTTATTACATTTCTTAAGTTCTTGGATTCTTTAAAATAAAAAGATCGAGAGATGGATTGTTTATTAAAGGGTTAGTAACTTTTGTATTCCTGATTGCTGATCTGAATTTGTTTTGATGATGAGTTTCGGTAAGTGGTTATGAACGGATTGTTTCGATAGTATGCTCTGCATGTAACTTATTCTCCTTGATCTTTCACAATGGTTGAGTTATATTATAAATGTGGACTTCATTAACAAAGGGGTTTCTTGTATTGTCGCTTCTTACTGTTTGGTTCCTTTATTGCATCATTGTGGTTATGACCTTTTAACGCATTTGTTTCTGCTAAGTCCTGAGGTAGTTTGATTTATGCGTTCCTCTGCTGTTTTAGGAATTGCTTTCTACTGGTTGAGCATCTGTTTCTGGCTATCCTGGTTTTGTTCTGCAATTAGCTTTACTTTCTTATCGTATTATATATTATTTGGTACATCTTTGCTGCAAATTTAGTTGGCTGCAGCTAACTATATAGGTTAGTTAATAATTTCCCAGGTTCAACTATAAGTCACCTAATCTTTGAACTTAGTTGCTATTTATATTATTTAGTATAAATTTTTAAATTTAATTAAATATATGTATGATAATTGTGTGAAATACATAAAAAGAAAAATAGAGAGTAAAAAGATAATAAGAAAGAAAATGAGAATGAGATGAAAGTATGTTGGTGGTTGTAATATTAGCAAAATATTATATAATAATTGTAAATATGGATAAACCAAAGTATTAGCTAAAATATTCAATATAATAATTGTAAATATGGATAAACAATCCTCAGAACCTTTTTGAAAATTTATTCTAATAATAAATAAATAAATAAAAGAAAAACTTTCTGAACATCCCCTCTTTTAAAAATTGACATTTGGACCATGTTTCAATATCCCACCACTTAAAAGCAATGGTCCTACAGATAGATACAATGAACTTGTCTTTTGTCGACTTGTCTTTTGTTTCTTGTCAATTGCCAGCTTGTGTTTTGATAATGATGGTTGAAGGACCACTTAGTAATTACTTCTTGTTGTTGCTCATAATTTCCAAAAAAAAAAATCATTTCCAATTTTTTAAATTTCAAAATTATTTAATTTAATTAAATCTTTAATCCTCATCATTTACCCACTACCATAACCTAATCCTTGTGGAGAAATAGAGAGAGAGAATATTACACATATATATATAAGATAAAGTTGTAATTGATATTATGACTATATACTTACAATAATATATAAAGTATTACTCTTCTTTTTTTTATAATTAAAATTATAAATAAAAAAAAAAAAAAAAAAAAAAAAAAAAAAGGGAAACATCATGTATCAAAGCATAAAAAAAAAAAAAAAAAAAAAAAAAAAAAAAGGGAAACATCATGTATCAGCATCAGTTGGACAATCTTGTGCTAGTTTCCTCAGATTCTCAATGATCATTACAAGCTTTGTATTCAGCCTATTCACAAAGCACTTGGGCAGCCATCCAGCAGGATCTAACTGTACATAACAATGACACTATTCTCATTTTCAATTTCAAAAAATGCAATTTTTCCTAATCTCAAGTTGTTTTTCGTAAGTTAAAATATAACTGGGTCTCTAAATTATGTTCAAATTTAACACTTTTATATCCTTATACATTTGAGAAATAACTATAACATCCTTAGTTTATACTTTATCTCACTATCGGGTCCTTCCGTCCAAAAAATAGATTTATCCCTTGCAAAAAATGTCTAACTAATGGTAAAGAGCTCACTCTTTGGACGGAAAGACCCGAGACGAAAGCACAAATTATGGGTATCATAGTTATTTCTCTTTCGATCATAATTTAGAGACTCAATTATATTTTACTTTTTCCCCTAATAACTTCCTTAAAAAGTAATTTTTTTTATGAAATTACCTGAACAACATAGGTTACCATACAAGAATCATCTTCAAGTTTCTCCACAACCCATCCTGATTGCAGCAATAATCCTCTAATTGCATTGTTTTGCTTAGGATGCAATCCTGCAGCTATTTCTTTTGGCAGGGAAGCTACTGCTACAACCTTCACAAAATCAACCAAATCAGAAAAGAAAAGAATCTCGAAACCAAAAATTTCATTCTTTTTTCTATTTTCTTTACTATCAACTCACCAAGGTTCCATCTTCCATAGTTTCGCGCCGCTCGTAAACTATGAACTCTCTGTTTCTGAATAATGGTTTAGAGTTCTCTCCAAACCTAAGCCTAATTATGCTTAGATTATCTTCAAGATCTTTAATATATCTTGCTTCAACAAGGTCACCATCCCATTGCTTCGCCAAACCAAGAATTGAAATAAACATTTATGAACATATAGTTAAAACAATATTAACTGAGGAGTTACGCTCTACGTCCGAGGGGATTAAACCTCCTCTTTATACCAAAAAAATATATATTAACCAAGGACTTGAACATTCATTTACCCTTGCAGCATCAATTGCATTAGCAACAGTAATAAATTGTTGAGGAGAGACTGATCTTAGAACCCACCGGCTGCGAAACGCATGGAAAGAACCGGACCGGCGTTTCGATATTTCTACTCCATTATCAAGAGTTACAACTTTCCATCCATCATTTCCATTCCCAAACCTATTTGAATCAGAAGCTGATAGCAATTCTTGTATGCAGCTTTCACTTGCAAAGTGAACATATCTTCTCAATGAGTCCTCACTAATAGACCTACAAACCATAATCAGAATTTTTAAAAACTATATGTAGTCAATATAACAGTAAGAAAATCAAGATTCTATTTCACTACTTACCAAGACCGGCTACTAGGCGTAGGACTAGTGTTCATTGCAAATTTCAAGAAATGGTGAGAGAAGCCTTCCTTGTTTTTCACTTCAAGAACAAGAAATTTTGTGCGTGTGTATATATAGTGTAGAGAAGTTAATAGGATTGGTTAGAGAAAGAGATTTAGAAGTGTAAAATAATGGGAAGTGGGGTGATGTTATTGAAGCACATGCAGTGCCAGAGGAACCTCCATGATTAGAACTGCAAGTCTCCCTCTGTGTTTAGAGAGAGAAAGAGAAAAGATTGATTCTTTCCTTTCAAAAAAGCAGCAAGAACAAAAGGGGTAGGGAAGAACATGCACATGGAGTGTTGGTGGGGTTTTAAAAATAAAAAAATAAAACAAAGTACAGCAAAGAGAGGGAAAAAAAAACTAAGAAGATTGAAAATCTGAAGGTACAATTTAAGAGTAATAGAGTATTTAAACTCTCAACTATATTATCCAAAAACCTTTTGCCTGTTTATGGGTGACATTGACCCTACAAAAACATATCTCATTACTTCCTTCATCACATGCCATGGCCAGAAGACAATTTGAGCTATAGAGTTGGAATTGTGCTATTTCATCCATTCATTTGCATTACAATCACTTCCATACAATATAATAAGATGCTATGTTAAATAGATGCCATGAAATTTATTTTTCAGAGTAAAATTTTGGAGCACTTTTATATTGCTAGTAGTAATAGTAGGTTCTGGGTCAAATTTAAATAATTTTATTGGTCCAATATATGACTTTTTACGATATTATTTTCAGTGGCTCAAAACTGATTTTGAGTATAATTACAAAACTGTTAAAATACCTTCTTCAAATGGCCTTTTTTAACATATAGAAACCAATTCCAGCATCAAAGCGAATGATAACACATTCTCCAGCACTGCTACTAGAACACAAGATTTGGACCCATTCCATTCATCATCACATGATCTGAAAGTAATGTTATGGTAAAAGGCACAAAGTGAGAACTTTGGTTTTTCGAGTTGTCCAAGAATAAAGAAAATGGTTATCCTTTTACTAATCTTAATTTATGAAAGTTGATGCAACTAAATGATTAAATGAAAACATGGGTTTCTTGGTAAATGTAAAATGATAATCAGACCAAGGTTTAAAGCCACTTTTTTGGAAATAAAGAGAAAAAGAGAAGATAAAAAGAGGGAAGTAGCTAAATTATTAAAGAAAACTAATTTCATTTCTGTCATTATTAACAAGAAGCAATGAAACAGTGAAATCTTTTCAGCTTCCAAAGGTTGGTGATGTTTAATTTTTCAAGAACCCTTTAGCTATCAAACTTTGCACTGTTTCCTGGACAGCAGCTTCAACTGGGGTAAAGACTAGCCCCAGCTCAATTAATCTCTTGGCAGCATCTTTGCAAGCTGCTAGGCCCGGTTGAGTTTCGCCAACAAACCTGTAATTGAGTCACAGCCAAGAACATAAACTTACAAAAACAAACAAAAGTCTTAATTACATGAATAGACAGGCTACATAATTAAATGAATAGTAGTAGTAGTAATAGATCTTGATGAAGTTTTATATGGTCAAGAATTCAAATGCAACAATTGTATATTTTTCGTTACTGAATAAGTTCTTTCCTCAACAAGACCTCCAGGTTGTCCTGTTTCCTGTTTATGCAAATTACCAACTAACCTTTCTCTCACTTGTCCAAAAAAAACAAGAATCTCACACTTACAAAAAATATAATTATTAGTTTGCTATTAGTAATAAACCTAATTTGCCCCCTCAACTTATGATTCAGGAACAAAACAAAATGTCCAAAATCGACCTTTTAGCTAAATTTGCCCTCTGATTACGTAATTCGCACGAAATTTGCCCTATTTGCACAATTTGCACTTTTTGGTGCAAATTACGCGTCAATTACAAGTCAAGAGGGGTAAATTGAGCCAAACTGTCAATTTAGGACTTTTTCCCCTCTGTATTACAAGTTCAGGAACTGGGCTTTTTTTCCCTTAATTATTGTTATTTTGGAACCAACCACAGCCTCTCCAAGAAGACAGAACAAAACTGAATAAGCCAGGTAATGATAACAAAGATAAATTCTAGGAAATAATTGTGGGTTATGATGATAAAATAAATCCATCAAGACTCTAGATCAGACTATTCTTTGTTTTTCATTGATGGAGGTCCATATCAAAGGTAGCTCATTCTTCTTAATCGCTATACTTTGTTCTTAAAAGTACTCTTCAAGAAGAGGATTGTTATTAATGCCAACCCTTTTGATACTCAAGTGTACCACTTAACCCTGTCCTTCTCCTTTTTGAGTCCAGGGGAGAGAGGGACTGGTATTCTGGTTTGAATCTTTAGTCTATAGTGAGAAACAAGCAATTAACCATTGGACTATCAAATCAATGTCCTTCAACTTTGATAATTCAAAACCAATACAGACACAAAGACAAGCCCACGAGCAGACACCAAGGTCAATTGGCACTTAAGCAACCACACTTTTCTTCTAAAAAATTCTTAAGAGGATAGGAATAAATAATGTTTCGTATATGGGTTATCCGAACTGACTGATAATCTTAATTACAAGGAAGCTTCAAAAGGCTTTGAAGGAGAATATGAATCGTAAAGCAGGCTCTAACAGAATCAGCATCTAATGCAGCACAAAGTACACGCAATAATAGTAGCTCACAAAGGCATCTTAGTAGGACTCTTTATTCCACAATTACTATCAAGAACTGACTTAGTGGAGCTCCATGGGACCAGGTAAAAGAAAGGTGGTACTAGACTAAAGTAGACAAGTTTGATACTCAAGAAAACTGGACCCTTCAAGATTGGAGGAAAAAAAGGTAATAAGATCACAGCAAAACCCTAAAATTGCAAATAGCATATTTGTGTGTGGAAACCACAATAAATAGACAATCACAAAGAAGACAAGAAACTGTGATGATATAAGGCCTTGGATGGATCTCATTATTGACATAAAGCTAACCCCATTTCCACCTCTGCACCACATGTAGTGCGATTATTAGAGTCATCGGCTCATCATATTTCCAAAGGGATTATACTCCCACTAACGAAACTTCTACTGTTGAAGTAATATTGCGTTTCTCTTAAATTCCATTTATTTTGAATTCTCTCCTTTACCATAAACATTAACACAAGTAATAAGTTAAATATTCTATTTCTACTACCACTAACTATTACTAATAAACCCACAATTAACAAAACAAATATAATAAAATATGAGAGGAAGAAATTATGGAACCTTCATTATGTTCTCAAAATAGATTTTAGTGGGTCATTTTGGAGATTTCATTTTATATTTTTTAAAATTTTATAGAAGAAGTATGCAGGCGTTAGGATTTGAACCTCTAATCTCTGATTCTACAAAATAACTTGACTTTTAATGCTAGTTTCCTCATGGGTTAATGATATCAGAATCCTCTTTAGAACCGTGAGATTGCAAGTTTAAACACCCAGTTGAAGCTAAATTGAATTTTTTTAAAAAAAAAAAAATCAGCTTCGGGATTATGACATTCAGCTTCTTTGCTGACCCATCCCACTACAGTCCACATTAATCTTTCTAACAAGAATGGGTAACAAACCTGCCTTACTTGAACCACTGATTAGGAATTGTACTTTGTAGATATCCTTGAGTGCACAAATATATGTGAAGAATAAAAGTGAAATAATGACTTCTTTCTTTTGGGATATGACGTGGACACATTAGTAACAATGACTACTGCTAGACAGCAAAGCATACGATTTCTGACATGATAGCGCAAAAAGACAAACCTGTGAACAGGAAATTGAGGGAAGAGCTTGGAAACTGTCTCAGCAAAATCACCAAACTGATAAATACCATTAGTGCAAAGATATCTACCAGAAGCAGTAGGAGTTTCAAATAGCAAAAGTTGTGCCTTTGCCACATCTTTTACATGCACAGCTCCCAACCAGTGATATTCCTGAGTGTCTTTTGATCCCTGCAACAATTGCAGTAGCACAGCAGAACTAGCATTTAAACTCGGCTGCAATAGTGGGCCTAAACATGTGGCAGGATGGATTGATACAACATCCATTCCATGCTTCTTTGCAAACTCCCATGCTGCTTTTTCTGCCAGTGTCTTCGATACAGGATACCATTTCTGCCAAAACCATCAAGAGAAACGAGATTTAATACATACCCTATTAGCCTACAACAATAATAACAACCAAGCCTTAATTTCAAATTAGCTTAGGCTATAATATATGAATCAAGTGTCTGTTCTGATTAAATTAATATCATTCTAAGGCAAAATATAAGACAAAGCATAAAATATGCAATAACAACTAACTAAATATTTTGTTCATAGCTATATCCTCACTCCTAAAGCCAAAGAGAAATAACATTTAACACATACTCTATTAGCATAAATGTCTTAAAAATATAAGCTGTACAAACTAATTTAGCTCAATTTAGTTGAAGTAACCCATCAAACCTGGTACACCAGGATATATATATATATATATATATATATATTCCACTAGAATTCAAACCGGAGACCTCACAATGCTAAAACTGATTTTAGTTCTATCAAACTTGTTGGTATAGCATTTATATATCAAATTAAAATTCACAACAACAATAACAACAAAGCTTTAATCCCAAATTATTAAAATCATTTATATCCATTTCGCTCTTTTCATAACTAAGTTCGCAATAATATCATCAGGGGCAAGATTTACTGAAATTCAAAAACATATAATATATGCAAAATGATTTTGGTTTACAGAACTGAAGTTGTATAAAGGAAACAAATCAAACAACAGTTCAACCCATCACTTTATCTCCTGTGATTTTAGATAAAATGGATCAACCAATCATCAATTTTTATCGTAAATATGAATATTATTTTTTAGAGGAACTCTCCATTGGAAGAAAACCAAACTCAATTAGAAATTGGCAATCACGCGTTTACCTGGCGAGACTTGCAGTACTCAAGGTCAGTCCACGAAGACTCATCAAAAACCTTACCAGACGGCCAATTGGGGTTAGGAACCAACGCTGATATAGACGACGTGATAACAACGCGCCTCACCTTGAACTTCTTGGCAGCTTCCAGGACACGAAGCGTGCCCTCTACAGCTGGCAATAGAAGCTCTTTTTCTGGGTCTTTAGGGTCCTCTAGAGTACAAGGAGAAGCCACGTGGAAAACGCCCTGGCAGCCCTCGATGGCCTTGCATACGGCGTCGTAGTCCAATATGTCAGCCTCGTGGACATGGAGTTGAACATTGGAATCGGCGGCGGTGGGTAGGAGGTCGAAGAGATGGGAAGCGTCGGAGGAAGGATAAATTGACGCGTGGATGGTGGTGTAGCCATTTTGTATGAGGGTTCGAACCAGCCATGAGCCTATGAAGCCGTTGGCTCCAGTGACGCACACCGCCTCTTTCTTTTGCTTCGACATGTGGGTTCACTATTTTGTCTTTTTCTCTTATCCCAAAGGAAATGCAGGATAGTCACTGTGATATCTATGCAGGTATAAATAATATAATATACCAAAATATCCCGAAACTTTAGGAGTTTTGGTAATTACAATTGAGGATAAAACTGGATAAAACTGCAAATTAAAAGTATATCCATACATTTTTAGATAATGACTTGACACTAATAAGATTTAAAAAATAAAAATTTAAAAAAGATTGTGTTAGTCTATTTGAATAGATTAAATTTTAAAAATTTTAAAATAAATGTACTAATAAATAAATTTCTATTACTTATCAAAAAAAATTCCAAATACAGCATAAAAATTAAATTAATAAAATAGTTTTTTTAATTAAATATTACATTTTTTATAACAGTGAATTAGTGATTAGAAAAGCAATAAAAAATTTTTAAATTATAATAAATGATAATCAATTTGATAAAAGTTTCTTTCTCTCACATATTAATTTGATTAATTTTGATTTCAGAAAATATTTAAAATAATTAATATATTTAATATATATAAATGATAAAAGTTTTCTTTCCTCTCAACAATATTACATTTGGAATGTAATTTTTGATTTCAGAAAAATAATTTTAAAACTAATTATATATTTAATATATATTAAAAGATTAAATATAAAAAATTATTTTAATTATTCTTTAATATTTTCAAATGGATAAATATTTATGGATAAAAAAACTATTTACATGTGTGGATAAGGAGTTGTTGTAACTATTATAACTATTGCCCAAGGCAAGATTTTTTATAGCTAGTGTTTAGAGCTTGCTTTTCTTCTTTTTATCTCGATGAAAAAAATTATTTTAAATATTAATTTCTTGGTTTCATTTTAATAATGGCATTTTACCTTGTTCCACTTTTAATGTTTATTTGGATTTTTTTTAAAATTACAAATAATTATTTTTTAAAAACTGAGTAATCCAACAATTATATTCAAATGTAATTAAAAACAATAATAACTATTCTTAATAATTTTCTTAGTTTTCAAATTAATAGTCCAAAAATCAACAAATTTTTTACATCAATTAAAATAATTTTTATCATGATGAATGTTACTGCTTATATAATTAATTAATAGCGTGAACATATTAAGTGTAAATTTATTTTATGAAACTTATTATTTATATTTAATAAAAATGACAAGTTTTTTTATAATTGTACATAATAAAATATAATTGGTGTTTATTATTATTTTTGTTAAAATTTTATATCCAAGGGTTGTTATAAAAAATAAGACAAATGGAAATTTTCAATTTTAGAATTTTATTCCAAAAATATAATTTTATGGAAATTAATTGAAATTATCTTTATTTAAATTATAGCATATTAAACATGATAAATTCTTTATAAATTGAATTCCTACAACTATGATTCTTTTGACTCTAAACGGACTTTAGAAGTCCAAATAATTAATTGTAGCTATTGATTATGATTACTTTTAGACTTTTATTTTTTTAACAGAGCGTTAAAAGGTTGTATTCATCAAAACTAGTTTTATATTTCACTAATGATTTTACTTTGGATTAATATATATTTCAATTTAATTAAAAAGTAGAAACTATGCATAAAAAAACACAACTAATGCAATTGAGCACCGCATAAGCCACTTTTTTTTAAATCATTATTTCTATTTTTTTAATTTTGTTATTGAAGTAATATCATTATTTTACAATTTATGTTTTTTAATTTTGGAAGCAAAAGGGTAATAATTTTCGTAAATTACAAGTGGGTATTTCTAAACTAGCCAATACCGTCCGATGCGCTAATTAATTATCATAAATTGTATAATTATAAATGTAATTTCAAAATTGCTGTCATGATATAGTGGATATAATATTTTGTAATAAAATTTAATATGCATGATACTTTATATTTGTTCATTCTATATAATAATTCAACTTGGCGTATAACATTATGATGCTATACTTGACATTCCTGAGTACTATACATGAAAACTATAATGGTACATGCAATTTATTTTTTTTGATATAATATTCAAGAGGTTTATTTCTCATCGATCATGCAGCGTAAAGTGGTTTTTTACCCTTCCAACAAAAATATGTTTTTCCCGAAGAATCGAATTTGTATTCTCACCTCTTATAAGGGATGAGGTCGCTAAAACGGCCATCTGCAATGTCCAACACTTGTTGGTATAGTAATCATACAGTTTGATAAATGCCTGTTAGTAGAGTTTTTATCACAGAAGATTTTGTTATTACATAAATACAATATATTTTTTCAACAATAAGATTGGCAAATCATATTCTTTCATCTTTTGTCGGATTGGAACACTTCATTATTAAATATTTTAAATAATATCAATTTTTCTGTCAATCTATAGTAATTGTAAATATTTTAAAATAACAATATTATTAGTAATTATTAATGAAATTAATTTCATCGTTAATTTTATTATTTAGATGCTAATTAGTTGAAAATCTAAATAATATAAAATATTATGGACAATAAGAAACTTTATTTGTTTTTTTTTTTATTACATTTATACTAAGTGAAATATCATTTAAATATATAATAAAGGTGAAAATTAGTGGTTGTGTCTTTTTGTCTTTAATAATTTTATTATTCGTTATAAACTGTGTTATTTTACAACTCATTCTTTTTGAGTAAAAATTGATATTTTATCCCTTTAATATCTAAATTAAAGTTTTTAAGTGAATATAACAAAATAGAAAGTCTTTTGGAATCTGAATCTATTAGATAAATAATATTTTCTCAAAATGAAGATGTGACAATTTGATAATAAATAAATCAAAACTAATTTTTTAGTAAAATTTTTTATCTTTGAAATTTTAATTTGAATCAATGTTAAGAAAAATAAGTCATAAAATATAAATTTATATAGGATATTATTATTCTTGAGTTCAAACTAAGGTATTAAATATTATTATTTTTATTGATTAGACTAAATACAAACAATAAATAAAGATTATTTTATAAAAATAGTATGGTTTAGAGCTTTAATATAAGTGTTTAATATCAATATTCATTTGCTTGAAAAAATTATTATCAACATTTAATAATCAGTCATTTGACGGATAAATATTTATTATAAAATGCACATTATTGATAGTATTAATATTAACCAGTATAATGGCATATACGTTAATTTTCAAAAATTTTTTCAAATTTTAAATAAATTTTCGTATCATGAGAAGAAGATATAATGGTATTTTTTAAATTAATTGGGGTCTAAAAAAACTGAAAAAGTATGGATTAAATCAAAAATTGAAAAGAAAATTCGTCTTGATACTTTTTAATATATAATCCAACGTTATATAAATTTTAATATATTATAACTTAACTATTTGAATTATTTATAATTATGTAATTAAAAAATGCAATGGAAACTCATATTAAAGTTTCACTTATATAAATTAAAAAAATTATTTTAAAAAGTTTTTTAACGAATAATTATTTAAGTTTACGGTTAACCAAGGTAATGAAAGAATAATAAAAGAGTTAAGTGAAAACATAATATTTGAGCATGATAAATAACGATAAAAAGGCTACACAAGTAAATACAATTGCGGCAACGATATTTAAAATTAAAAAAATAATAATAGAATAAAAGAATATTATAGATAAAAATGTATTAATAATATCTAAGTAAAAAATAGTAGCAAGAAGATAATTTCCAAAAATATGAGTGCCCAATAGAGTAAAACTAATAAGTTAAATATAAATTATAAGCCTCACTTTAATTACAATCTAGCATATAGAAACCGGTTAATATTCTATCCTTTCTTTGTCCTTCTTTTGTGCTGAAAACTTAAAAACTTTTATCTCTTAGAAAAAGGAGTGGATAACGGTGAGCTTCTTTCTTTTTTTTTTATTTGGTTTTTTTATAAATCATCCTCAGAATTTGTTTACCAGATATGAATTTCGCTTATATATTGAAAATTTTATCATCAAGATCCTATTTGAAGTTATCTACTATCACCATTATATGATTTTGTCTAGCTTCTTTTAATTATTTGGATATTATGCAGAAAAAAGTGCGATCTTAATCTCCAGTAGAATGTAAGACCCTGGGGTTTGAATAGTAGCCATGAATAGCCACTATGAAACAAGTTGATCACCTATGACACTGAAACACCCGAATTTTTATTTTCGAAAACTTTCGAATTTTTAATAAATCAAAATATCGACTTTTTCACAACTTATTTGGGCTATATATATATCAACAATCTCAATTCGAAGCCCCAAGTTTGTGAAGTTGGGCCCTAAGCCCAAATACAATCATCGGAATTGTCGATTTGAGAATGATTAAATTTGTGAGAAATAATACGAAAACCTTAATTTAACTTATTGAATATGTATGAAATTAAATTATCTTAAAACCAAATATTGTTTATATTAATATTTTTATTATTATATTGAGGTAATGAGAAATATTATGGACCAAACTAAATATTAAAATAAATCGAACTGGACTTTAAAACCAAATTGACCCCTTTCGAAAACCACACAAACAGCTTTGAGAAAAAAAAAAAATAAATAAATAAAAAAAAAAAAAAAAACCCTGGCCAAAACCAAACAATGAGAACGCAAATCACTAAATCGGCACGCGAACCGATCCGAATCAAACCGGAATGTCCTAATTTTTCTTTTTCCTTCTTTTCTTTCCCCTTCTTCTTCTCCAGGCCGCGACTCCTCCCCTTCCCTTACCCGGATCCAGCCACCTGAGCTTCTCGCCGAATGTCTCCCTCGCCGCTTTGCAAGTCCGGTCCTTGTCACAGCGCGCCTCTATCCGTTAACTCTAAACGCGAAAGGCTGTCGCTGGAAGCTGCGATCCGCACAGCCCCTCCTTCCTCTTCCTTCGACTCACGACAGCAGCGCATAAAAGACTCAGCGCCAATCGAGCTTCGCCACAGGACCACGCTTGAATCTCACTCCCTCCTTCTCCGGCTGTGCGATTCCGGCGAGTGCGACTCTCTCCATGATTTGGCAGCAACGTTTGGTGGCGACTCTAAATGGCCCTGGCGAGAGCCGT